CATCCGACTTGGGCTCAGGTCATGATCTCACAGTTCATGGGTTTGAGCCCTGCATTGGGCTCTGTGCTGACAGCCCAGAGCCTGGAGCCTGCTTCAGAATTTGTGCCTCCCTCTCTCTCTGCCCCTCCCCCGCTCATGCTCTGTCTCTCTCTGTCTCTCAAAAATAAATAAATGTAAAATAAAATAAAATAAAATAAAAAAGTTTTTAATGTTTATTTATTTTTGAGAGAGAGAGAGAGAGACAGAGCGCGAGCAGAAGAGGGAGACACAGAATTTGATGTAGGTTCCAGGCTCTGAGCTGTCAGCACAAAGCTTGACACAGGACTCAAACTCAAGGACTGCGAGATCACGACCTGAGCTGAAGTTGGACGCTCAACCGACTGAGCCACCCAGGTGCCCCTATTTCTTTCTTTCTAAAGTAGTCTCCATGCCCAACGTGGGACTTGAGCTCACAATCCTGAGATCAAGCGTATTCTACTGACTGAGCCAGCCAGGAGCCCCTAAGAGCCTTGTTTTAAACGATGACTTAACTTTGTAACTGTTTTCAGATCATAATTCATTTCAGATCATTCTCTCTATTGTTGCACATTTAGGGTGACCTTTTTGTTTTTCTTTTTGCAAATACTTCTTTTACATTTTTATTTTATTTATTTATTTTTATTTTAGAGAGAGAGAGAGTGCGAATGGGGAAGAGGAGCAAAGGCAAAGAGAGAGAGAGAATCCCAAGCAGGCTCCACATTCAGTGCAGAGGCCGATGTGGGGCTCAGTACCAGAACCCTGGGATCATGTCCTGAGCCAAAATCAAGAGTCAGACATTTAACCAACTGAGCTACCCAGGCGCCCCCAAACACTATTTTAAACGTTGTGAGAACAGCCTCCTCCAAGCCCTCTGGCACTTGGGGAAAGGAAGTGGTGGGAGGTATTGCCCACTAACATTCTAGCCTTGCTCTCTCTCCTGAATTCTAGATATTTCTCCCAACGCCCGTCAGCCAAGCTCACCATTGTCACCAAACTCGGGAGGTACCTGCCTGGAAGTCAGGAGACCTGACTCTGGCCGCTTTGGCATTGACCTTGACTGGAAAAGCACCCGACTCTGCCTCATCCGACCGGTGTGTGTAGGTCAGGGCACAGAATCCTGCATCACCAGACTGCCTGCCTGGTGCCCTTTCCCCTGGTCCACCACCACCAATCAGCAGTGAGGCCAAGGTCCTGGCTTTCACATCCCGGAATGTGGCAGGGGCGGTTTTCCTGGTGTGATTCACAAACTGCAACAATGTTTCAGCCGGACACGGAGACAAACTAAGGGGAGGGGGATGCGGGTGTCCTCAGCCAGGAAGCTTCCTCAGAGCCTCCCCGTCCCCAGGGATCTCTGCCTCTCTCTGAGCTGGTTGTGTCTCTCATAGTGGAGGGTCATGGGCCCCGCCCTCCCCCGCCTTGAGAGGGCACTCACACCATCCTTCTAGCTGTTTCTCACGTGATGCTGTCTCTCCAGCTGTGAGCACCCGCAGGTCAGGGGAGCAAGCATGCGTACACTTCTCGGCCCCTCCCCAACCCCGTGGCTGGACCAGGAACGATACTCACCAGCTGTGAGAGTGAGCCACCAGACGGTGTTTGGAGGAAGGATTCCAAAGTGGTCCAAAATGCGCACCTCTGGCCTCCCTGCTGGCTGAGCGCTGTCACAGAGGAGTGACAAAAAAGGAGCTGGGACAAACTCGCACAGGCCACAGCAAGTAGACTTTCAAAACCCAAGTCCAACGCTCCCGGCAAAGGCTCAAGCGTTCTCGGCAATAGCTCCACCCACAGGCGGTGCTAACTGCCGTGGGGACGTCAATCCCCTCGGAAGATCCTGCCTGTACCCTCTGCGGGTTTAGAAGCTAAAGGGAACGACAGCTGTTCTGAGCTGGGAGCAGAGTGGCCCCAGGGCTCGGAGCACGCTCTGAGCCCGAGTCAGGAAACCTGAGCTCGGGCCTGGCTCGGCCACAGTGTGCCCCGGCCTCCTGGTGACTTCACCCCTCTGAGCCTGTGCCCTGATATGCCCAGCAAGGGGCAGTCCTGCACAGCCACTGCACAGGGATGGAGTCAGAACAAGTGACACAATGTGTATAAAATTACTTTGCAAAGCTTAGAGCTTTGTACTGACATGAGGGTCATTAGACAGAAAAGCGCGGACAGATGAAAGGGGTAGGCCGCTGATTTCTCAAGGTACTTTACTCAGTAGTAGGAACAATCCTTTATTTGTTCAGTGCTTGATAATTCACAAAGGGTTTCTGGGTTCTTTATCTCACCTGAGCCTCACAACAACCTAGCAAGGCAGGGCAGGGATTATTCTCCCTGACCACTGAGCAGGTAAAGAAAAGGAGGGCCATTTTCCCATGGTCCTACAGTCACAGAGCCAGGACTAAAACCCCCTTGTGATAGCTCTCTATGCTCCTTATGATGGGCCCATTATGGTGTTCTCTGTTTCAGTTACTGCAACTCCATGGGGCAATTTCCCACAAAACGTGTGAGCACATCCTAGCAGGCCCCAGAGCCCCCCTGTGACTGGAAGGGGTGGGGAGGGTGGGGAGAGAGTAAAGAAGGCTGTGGTTATCTCATTAGCAATGGGAAGTTACTAAAAGCAGGAAAATACTGTGATCAGATCTGTGTTTTGTTAAAAAATGCTTTCCTTCTCCACCTCTTCCTTATCTGCTCCTTTTTTTTCCTTCTTCCCTCTTCTTCCTCCTTCTCCTCTTTTTTCTTCATTTACTTTGTATAATTCCCCACAAAGAGAAAGAAAGGAAAATTCTGGGACTTTCCATCCCCAAAACCCTTGCGTGTTCATCAAGCTGAAGTCCTAACTGGCTGGCTCCTTGTATTTATAGGACACCAGGGTCCCGCCCAGAGACTCTGCTCTCTGGGGTGGAGGAAAGGGGGGGGGGCGTTCTAGAAGCTTCATGCTCCAGGAGCAATGCCAGGATTCAGCGAAGGAGTAGGATGTAGCAGGCATGTACGGCTGGAACCAGGCCCCTGGTCCCTCCCTGGCCTTCTGGAAAGAGCCTTGCCTCAAGGACTGCCTGAAATAGCCCAGAACCTGAGATCCTGGCCGTGTGCTCTTCTCCACTGGGTGTCTGCCACTCAAGAGTTCACACTCCCCAGGCCACTAGCAAATGGCCAAGTGGCCGATGTGTAATCTGGGGTGCCCCCGCCCCAGGACGTCTTCCTCCCCAGTTCCCTTAGATTACAGGCCTAACTTCCTCTCCAGTTGGTGTCTCCTACATAGATCACATGCCCAGCAGCTGGGTCCCCAGTCAGAGAGTTTGGGGAGGATCTGAACAGAAAAGGCAAGCACATCTGCCCATGCACGTGTGCGTGCATGCGTGTGCATGCGTGACGAGTGTGTGACATCTCGGGAGGAAGGGGTTCACGCTGTCTCTACAGAGAACCTCTGCCTCATTCATCTTGCTCAGTATCATATCGCCAGCACCACGCAAGTGGTTGGCACCTAACAAATATTCTCTGAATAAATGAATGAATGAACAATGAATGAACCGGTGAGGATCGTGGCCTGGATATAGCAACCAGAGAGGCCTTGGAGACCTCGCTAGCACGTTTCTAAGGACTCCCAGCAGGGCAGGCTGGTGGTGATGATAAAGGAGTCAGCAAGACAGTGTGGGAAGCCTGTAAGGGGTCTGGAGGAGGCCACAGGGCACAGGAGGGGTGGGGGTGGTGTGGGGATGGGAAAGACTGTTTGAACAGAAAGCAAGAGTCCTGTTTGAGAATGTCACCGGCCACAGGCCCTCTTGCACCCGCATCCATAGCAGCAGTCTCTCTTTTCTCGTGTGTGTGTGTGTGTTTAATTTGAGAGAGAGAGAGAGAGAGAGAGAGAGAGAGAGAGAATCTTAGGCAGACTCCATGCTCAGTGCAGAGGCCCAGGCAGGGACCTGAGCCGAAATCAAGAGTCGGACGCTCGACCAACTGAGCTGCCCAGGCGCTCCTCTATGAAAACTTTAAAATTCAAGAGAAATGGGAGCGATTTTTGTTGTTGTTTTTAATGTTTATTTATTTTTGAGACAGAGAGAGACAGAGAATGAACGCGGGAGGGTCAGAGAGAGGGAGACACAGAATCAGAAGCAGGCTCCAGGCTCCGAGCTGTCAGCACAGAGCCCGATGCTGGGCTTGAACTCACAGACCGTGAGATCATGACCTGAGCCGAAGTCAGATGTCTAACCAACTGAGCCACGCAGGTGCCCCTGGGAGTGATTTTTGAAGGTGATGATTTCTTTGGCTCTTCCTCCACACTGGTCCCCTGTTTGTCCAAGGCCTGTCCTCCCTTCAGCCCCCAGTCCAGTGACAGTGGAACTTTTTCAGCACCTAGAGTCTCTTGGGTGCCTGTGGACCCCCTCAACCTGCATAGTTTAGTATTGAATCAGCTATGGTCTTTTACTGTCTTGTTTGTTTTTGAGGAATATTACCATTAATTTCACAGTTCACACGTAGCTCATCAACACTTACGGATGAACTGGGAACAATTTTGGGTCCCAGGATACCTCCCCCTCTCCTGGGATGTTTAACACTCCTACTGTTGCCCAGCTGGTGTCTGCTCGGGGAGTTCATGATAATTTTAATTTTGGCCGAAAATGGAAACAAAGAATCCTATCGGTTGAGCTGTTCCTTAGGGGCTTCATGGGCCTTGTTCTCTCTCTAGTTCCTTAGTAGCCTCCTCCAGGCCAGGAACGGGGTCTCCTGTTCTCTACCTCTCATAAGACCAAGCGCTGTTGAACATATTTTAAATGTGCTGGTTGATATCCCTGTTGGGTGATTTCAAGGTCAATCTTGTTAAAGAAGCAGAAAAACAAGCCAAAAAAGCTCGGTTGGAAGGGTTTCTACTCACAGCCTGGTTCACGTAGTCCCCGGGGCCTGCAAATCTCCCACTGACATATGGCCCCGTGATATTTACTCTAGTGTCAGAATCCTGGTGTAACTTTGGGCACCTTTCCTGGGTTCCATGTTCTGGAACCTCCCTCCTCCTTAGGGAGTTACCTTCTTACCACTTACTTCTCCAGAACTACTCCCTTTGTAGCCAGAGCCAACAGAGATGCTCCTTCCCACACTTCTTGGAATGCCTCCATCAGTCCCAGTTTCTACTTTAAGGAACATACTTTGTCCAAGTAACTGGAAGGAAGGCAGAGCCTGAGCATGAACTTCACTTTCCAGAAGGGACCCTGCCTTCTCTGGTACACAGTGGATAATCCCTTCCTTCCAGCCCAACAGGAAGGCCTACTTCAATCATTTAATGCCCTGAACAAGCATACAAGACAGACATATAAAGCGTCATGAGGGCTTAGGGACAAAGAATGTCAACCCAAAGAAATCTTTTTCTTTTGCAGGGATATTCTTCATGCTGGCAGGCTGTCGGGAAGATACGTGGGGACCCTGGGATTTTCCTTTCGCTTTCTTGTGCTCTCAGAAACCACCCCCTGGTGACTCAGAAACATGAAGGTAAGGGCCAGGTAGGTGGGGCACAGCTTCCCATCCAGGTTTACCCAGTTTTACCAGACAGAGGAGCGCGCTGAGGCTGTAAGCAAGAGAGGAAGCCCCAAAGAGAGGAAGGACAGGGTGTTGGTTCCTCAACTTGTTGAGACCAGAGTTGTGTAGCAAGACAAACTTGAGTGTGCTCAGCATTTCTCCTTCCTGACTTGGGTTTCACCTTAGCCCCAGTTCAGTGGCAGCCCTGTTGGCTCAGAGGGCTGAAGATTCCAAGAGCAAGAAGCTTGTACAATCCTTCATGTAGTGGGGTGGGGGTGGGGTGAACCTTTAACATTTATTTATTTTTGGGACAGAGAGAGACAGAGCATGAACGGGGGAGGGGCAGAGAGAGAGGGAGACACAGGATCGGAAACAGGCTCCAGGCTCTGAGCCATCAGCCCAGAGCCCGACGCGGGGCTCGAACTCACGGACCGCGAGATCGTGACCTGGCTGAAGTCGGACGCTTAACCGACTGCGCCACCCAGGCGCCAAGGGTGAACCTTTAAAGTAAACCTCTGGCAAGATCCCAGTGGGTTATGCTGCCCCAACTCTGGATCTGACTTCTCTCGCTTCTCTAACCTACCCACTCTGCCCTCTGCTCATAACAAATTTCTTATCATTCCTCACCATGACAGGCATGGCTGCTGTGTACAGCTTCGTGGGTTGTGCCCTGAACAATTCTTAGAGGTGCCATTTCCATAGACAGAGGAAAAAATCATGCACAATCTTACCGGGCAGCCCTGAGACAGTCCTCTTATGACTTCTTTCCCATATATTTCTTCCTCCACCAAGAATGCCCTTGTTTGCTTTTCCTCTCACCATATATTCACCTGGTAAATCATCTAACACTTAGCTTTCAAACTCGGCTCAAATGATGTTGATGAACACAAATGTAACAGCTGAATGCATTGGGAAATGCTCACACAGACATTGGGAAGAAACACCGTATATATAGGAGTCTCTGGGCACCTGGGTGGCTCAGTCGGTTAAGTGTCCAACTTGGGCTCAGGTCATGATCTCACGGTTCTCGGGTTCGGGCCCTGCGTTGGGTTCTGTGCTGACAGCTCAGAGCCTGGAGCCTGTTTCAGATTCTGTGTCTCCCTCTCTCTCTGCCCCTCCCCTGCTCATGCTCTGTCTCTCTCTGTTTCAGTATATGTGCTGCCGAAGCGAGCACTCTCTCTGTTTCAAAAATAAAGAAAAACATAAAAAAAATTTATATAGGAATCTCAAGCTGGCACACTGTTAGCTCATTCTGCCTGGCAGTTTGATTATGCCCATGGGGTGTTCTGAAAGGCAATGTAACTAAAATCCATCAGAATGAATCAAATTCAAAAGATATAATAACGAGTGTTGGTGAGGATATGGGGCAACTAGAACGCTCATACAATGCTAGTAAGAGTGTGAATTGGGATGACTGCTTTGGAAAACCACTTGGTGGTATCTTTTTTTTTTTTTTTTTAACGTTTATTTATTTATTTTTGGGACAGAGAGAGACAGAGCATGAACGGGGGAGGGGCAGAGAGAGAGGGAGACACGGAATCGGAAACAGGCTCCGGGCTCCGAGCCGTCAGCCCAGAGCCCGACGCGGGGCTCGAACTCCCGGACCGCGAGGTGGTGACCTGGCTGAAGTCGGACGCCTAACCGACTGCGCCACCCAGGCGCCCCTATTGGTGGTATCTTCTAAAGTGGAAGAGATTCCTAGCCTACGATTTAGCGGTTCTGGCAAAAACGCATATGCACACGCACAAAACATGTGCAAACATGATCATAAAGTCACGATTCATAATAGGCCCAAACTAGAAATAACTTCAATGTCCACCAACAAGACACTAGAGGAAAGATGTGATATATTCACCAACTAGAATATTACACGGCCATGAAAGTGAATTAATCATTGCTTTTGCATAACAACGTGAATGAACCTGACAAATATAACGTTGCGTGGAAGAAACCCAGACCTAAAAGAATACATACACTGCGTGACTCCATTTATGTAAAACGAGCACTGTGGTGCCACAAAGGAGAATGATGGTTACGCTGGGAGGGCAGGTAGTGACCGGAAAAGAACGCGAAGCTTCTGTGGTGCTGGCAATGTTCTATTTATTAACATGGGAGATAGTCACACAGATGTGTGCTTATTTTGTGAAAGTTTATCGAGCTGCGCACTTAGATTCGTACACGTTTATGTGTGTATGCTATGCCTCGATTAAAAAAAAAGATCGCTTAAGAGAATAAAAGCACATTTGGGGCGCCTGGGTGGCGCAGTCGGTTAAGCGTCCGACTTCAGCCAGGTCACGATCTCGCGGTCCGTGAGTTTGAGCCCCGCGTCAGGCTCTGGGCTGATGGCTCAGAGCCCGGAGCCTGTTTCCGATTCTGTGTCTCCCTCTCTCTCTGCCCCTCCCCCGTTCATGCTCTGTCTCTCTCTGTCCCAAAAATAAATAAACGTTGAAAAAAAAAAAAAAAGAATAAAAGCAACGCCGACTTTGGGCAATGATGTAGTAGCAGAATCTAGATTTATCCTCTGCCTTCATCAGTTATAAAACGGAACAAAATATAGGAAACAATGGTTTGAAGACATTGGATGGCAGGTGTCTCCGGACAGGGATCCCCGAGAGATGGGAAGCAGATGAGATGAGTCTTCTGGGGGGTCCTGGCTCACTGCCTGGAGAGAGAGCTTCCAGGCTACCGCACAGAGAGAGAGGCAGAACTCTTGGAGATGTGCAGAGGAATGTCCTCGAAAGTTTTGCCTGGGCACCGATCGGTACGTGTGATTGTGGACATGCCCAGCACTGGGAAAAGAAGCCCCGTAGGGGCGAGGAGATGGACGAGCCCCCAGAGCGTGTGCGAGGCTGGGAAGAGTGGGTGTGCCCACCAGCCAGAGCAGAAAGTGCTCCCCACACACGGGGCTTGGAGCCCTCAGAGGAGGGTGGCCTCAGGGGTCAGGCCAAGTGAGTCCCAGGAGTTGTTCTGGACTCCCCTAACAAAGCTGGAAAGCAAGCCTTGTGAAGGTCAGACGATTTCCAAGTAATTTAACCGCAGCCTATACTGAAGCCACCAGATATTTCAAAGAATTAAAAAAAAAAAAAATTCTGGTACCAGGACGCCTGGGAGGCTCAGTTAAGTGTCTGGATCTTTTGTTAAAAATTATTTTAACGTTTATTTATTTTTGAGAGACAGAGAGAGACAGAGCACGAGCAAGGGAGGGGCAGAGAGAGAGAGGGAGGCACAAATTCTGAAGCAGGCTCCAGGCTCTGAGCTGTCAGCACAGAGCCCGACATGGGGCTCAAACCCACCAACTGTGAGATCATGACCTGAGCCAAAGTCGGATGCTTAAGCAACAGAGCCACCCAGGTGCCTCAAGTGTCTGACTCTTTTTGTTTTTTTTATTAAAAAAAATTTTTTTTAATGTTTATTTTTGAGAGAGAGAGAGAGGGACAGAGTGTGAGTGGGGGAGGGGGAGGGAGAGAGAAAGACATAGAATGTGAAGCAGGCTTCAGGCTCCGAGCTGTCCGCACAGAGCCTGACTTGGGGCTCAAACTCATGAACTGCGAGATCATGACGTGAGCCAAAGTCAGACGCTTAACCGACTGAGCCACCCGGGCGCCCCTGGTTTTTATTTTTTTATGTTTTTTTTTTTTTATTTTTGAGAGAGAAAGAGACAGAGCATGAGCAGGGGAGGGACAGAGAAAGAGGGAGACACAGAATCTGAAACAGGCTCCACACTGAGTGGTCAGCTCAGAGCCCAACCCGAGGCTCAAACTCACGAACTGAGAGACCATGACCTGAGCCGAAGTCGCACACTTAACCAACGAAACCACCCCGATGCCCCTCCAAGTGTCTGACTCGATCTTGGCTCAGGTCATGTTTTCACAGTTCATGGGATCAAGCCCCATGTGGAGCTAACATGCACTAACAGCGTGGAGCCTGCTTAGGATTCTCTCTCTCCCTCTCTGCCCCTGTCCCCTGCTCACGTGCTCTCTCTCTCTCTCTCTCTCTCTCTCTCTCTCTCTCTAAAATAAAAGAATTCTGGTACCCAACAATATAAACTTCAAAATATCTGGTATCTCATATGGTTTCACTTATATGGAATATAAAATAACAAAACAAACAAACCCAAACCCAGAAACAGCCCCATAAATACAGAGAACACATTGGTGGTTGCCATAGGGGAAGGGGTGGGGGAGTGGGCAAACTGGAAAAGGGGCGTGGGAGATACAGGCTTTCAGGTATGGAAGGAATAGGTCACAGGGATAAAAGGTACAGCATGGGGAACATAGTCGGTGGGATTGTAATAGGGCTGTGTGGTGACAGACGGCAGCTACTTGCGGGGACCACAGCATAACCTACACTTGTCCAATCACTAGGCTGTTAAAAAAGCAGTGTTTTGGGGCACCTGGGTGGCGCAGTCGGTTAAGCGTCCGACTTCAGCCAGGTCACGATCTCGCGGTCCGGGAGTTCGAGCCCCGCGTCAAGCTCTGGGCTGATGGCTCAGAGCCTGGAGCCTGTTTCCGATTCTGTGTCTCCCTCTCTCTCTGCCCCTCCCCCGTTCATGCTCTGTCTCTCTCTGTCCCCAAAATAAATAAACGTTCAAAAAAAAAAGAAAATTAAAAAAAAAAAAAAGCAGTGTTTCTTGGATGTTACCTAAACTTCTTGTGGTGATCATTTCACAATATACATGTGTATTAAACCATTATGTCTCACACCTTAAACGTACACAATATTGCACGTCAATTATAGCAATAAAACTGGAAAAAACCCCACAAAATATTTGGTGTCTAATAAAAAATTACCTGTCACTCAAATAAGCAGGAAAAAAAAATCAATCCGTAGAAACAGAAACAGAAATGATACAGCTAATAGGAGACAAGGGCATTGAAACAGCTACTATAAATATATCCCATATATTCCAGAAGGTACAGGACAGCATGAGCATCAGGAAGAGTGAAATAGAAAATCTACAAGACGCCCAAATC